AGTGAAAAGTACCGCACTATTCAATATTTCAACTCAATCATTAGTCTGTATTAAAATGTAGTGCATTCTTTTATCAAAACTTTGTTATACGAACCACCAACTATAATAAAACTCTTATATCAATTGATGTGATATATAATTTTCGAAAAAATGTTTGATTAAACTTATGCTTTTGAATTTTGATATTTCTTTTTACCACAATTAATATTTTTTAGCACACTCTAAATCTCTGTAGCGAGATTACAATTTGACCGTAGCTAATTATTTGTAAAGCCACAATTTTGTAAATTCATCTATGTTTTTTACTCTGATTAAACACCTTTTTTAATAGTGGTTTTTTTCTAAAAATATTATAAGTATGTAAAAAAAAATTAATAACACTTTATTAATAATAAATATTAAAAAGACATTATTATATGTCAAAATTGTTGAAGTGAAATACAATGAGCGAATAAATAGTATTTTAATAAATATAAGTAATATATAATATTAATTATATTTTTTATAATATGTATATAAATATTTTAAATAGGAATGGCAATTGTACCCATTTATAATGTGAATACTCGCAAAATTTATCCACAACGGATAAGATAAAAATCTGCAAAGTGGATACAAATACGGGTAATTAGTCACTAAAATAAACGAATATGAGTACGGGTATAGATATTTTAATACCTAGTCCGCTTTATATCTGCACAGTATATATTTATATATTTTTATTTTCATGATTATATATAGATATATATGTTAATCTAACAATTTTATTAAATACATTACTATTAAATTTCTACGCGTTTTAAATAAATATTTATTTATTTTTCAATTCAATAATAACATCCTCAATTTTTTTTACATGTTGTTAAAAAATTAAAATTATGATAAATTATAATTGATCAATAATTTTTTATTAGAAATATGGATAAACACATAGGAATATGGGTACTTAAATACTATAGGGTACGAATATGAATACAAACGCTGATGTCCACACGAATATGAATTCCGTATGAGAATTTTTTTAAACGACATATTTGAAAACAGGTACTATAATACCTTACCCAAACATGTCCGTTGCCATCCCAAATTTTAAAACAAAGGTTATAATATGAGATGGGTATATAAGTAAAATGAACTGATGAAAGATTACACACAAAATCTCAAAACCATAAACTTTACTAATTTGTAAAATAGGAGCATAAAGCACAACTTCTATGGTTGGTTTATATGCCTTAATGTGCATGTGAACTTCTATGGTTAGTTATATGTTTGATATGTTGTACTATCATATGTCTGTATCATGTATGATATTGTATTATACCATATATGTATATTGATTAAATGTTTGGTTGTGTGATACCATGCTTAAAACCCTATAAAGATGAGTGAGGAAACCTAGACCTATAACCAAATAAATGGATTAGAAAGAAAAATAGATTACAAGTATGATTTGGATAACACTAGAAGGTGACATTCATGCCATATAATACCTAAGTGTGTGTCATGCATGAATGCTCACCATAGTATGAGTGAGATAAATTGTATGGAACATATGGCATTTTTGTGTGATTAAGGTGAATATGGTCACCTTGTGATTGTCGAATACAATCACGATTGTGTTATTTTATCAGGTAGTCGGAAATATCACTTAATTGTGCCATCTCAAGTCAGTATATGTATATGGAGTAACATTGGGATGAATGCACCGATACTTCGCATCAACTAAGTGGGTTAGATTCCCATATGTTCAACCAAGTGGGTTAGAATCTCATATGCTTAACCATGTGGGTTAAAGTCCCATATGTGCAACCAAGTAGAAGTGTAATACAAGGATCAATGACCTGTGTCCAAAGTTCTAGACGTAGAAGAGGGCGGGAAAAGGGGATGCCTTGGTATGGTTCTCGACTAGTGATAGTTTGATTTGATGAACTCAAGAGACATATTTTCATGCATTTCGAATTTTGTGAACTCAAGTCTTATCCCTTTCCCTTTCGACTTGAGTTAACCTTGTAGAGTTGAGTGAACCCATAATATAGGGGAATTCACTGAGATTATTATCTCACCTCATTATTATTATTATTATTATTATTATTATTATTATTATTATTATTATTATTATTATTGGTTTTCAGGTATTGTTTGCAGGTTTGGTTTACAATTGGAGCTATGCATGGATGTTTAAAGGGAAGCTTAGATTGTGGTTTCTTCTGATGTGTATCTTGTAGAATGACGGATATTGTACTTATATTCTAAATATTTATTGTTTGACACTTTCCATAACTTGGACCATTATTGTTCTTTTATGTTTGTAAATGGTCAAGTATGTTAATCATGCCAATAGGCACTTACGATGGTGTTAATATCAAATAATAACACGTGTTTGGTATTTTATATATATATATATATATATATATATATATATATATATATATATATATATATATATATATATATATATATATATATATATATATATATATATATATATATATATATATATATATATATATATATATATATATATATATATATATATATATATATATATATATATATATATATATATATATATATATATATATATATATATATATATATATATATATATATATATTATACAATGTGTTAATACCTTCCCCTTGCATAATCGACTTCTGAACCCGAATAAGGTTGCGATGTCCATATTATACATGGTGTTAATATCTTCCCCCTGCATTAATCTATAATTATATGTGTTTTGTGTATATTATTGTTAGTCACTATATAAAATTTACTTGTACACGCAGAAACAACCAGGTGAATAAGATTGTGAATTTTATGTCATGATAAACATTGTGTCTATCGACATTGTTGATTTTTGACAGTATGTAATATATATTTACAATTACATGTTAATAATTTGTACTGCATTATTGTTTGTTATTATTTCAATTTAATTGATTTTACATTTTGTTGAACTGATAGATGATTAACAACGTGACATCATTCAAAAAAAGAAGACTTAAAAGATGTACGTTCATGTTTGGGGTCTTGCTTCCATGAGATTTGTAAGCCTAGTTTATATTGATTTTTTAATGTGTTTACAATATTGAGAATGATGTAAATAATGTATAAGTTTATTTAACATTTTTATACACGATGCCTCCCATTTTGGTATAATGTATAGTTTTGTTTCACATTTTGGTACATATAAGAATCACATTAGAAAATAAACAATGAAACAAAATCATTAATATTTCCTATAACGTTTTTCATAAACATATGTCAACTTTCAATAATAAACAAAATATGTAAATTATTTTTAATATCAAGATGATCCAGAAATAACTTTTTCATATTAGCACCCACATATAATATGCGATAAATAATTTTAAATTTAAGAAGTTATTTAAATTTAAGAAGTTATTGCATAAACAACAATACAATTGAAACATATCTTTCAAATTATTATTATTATTATTATTATTATTATTATTATTATTATTATTATTATTATTATTATTATTATTATTATTATTATTATTATTATTATTATTATTATTATTATTATTATTATTATTATTATTATTATTATTATTATTATTATTATTATTATTATTATTATTATTATTATTATTATTATTATTATTATTATTATTATTATTATTATTATTATTATTATTATTATTATTATTATTATTATTATTATTATTATTATTATTATTATTATTATTATTATTATTATTATTATTATTATTATTATTATTATTATTATTATTATTATTATTATTATTATTATTATTATTATTATTATTATTATTATTATTATTATTATTATTATTATTATTATTATTATTATTATTATTATTATTATTATTATTATTATTATTATTATTATTATTATTATTATTATTATTATTATTATTATTATTATTATTATTATTATTATTATTATTATTATTATTATTATTATTATTATTATTATTATTATTATTATTATTATTATTATTATTATTATTATTATTATTATTATTATTATTATTATTATTATTATTATTATTATTATTATTATTATTATTATTATTATTATTATTATTATTATTATTATTATTATTATTATTATTATTATTATTATTATTATTATTATTATTATTATTATTATTATTATTATTATTATTATTATTATTATTATTATTATTATTATTATTATTATTATTATTATTATTATTATTATTATTATTATTATTATTATTATTATTATTATTATTATTATTATTATTATTATTATTATTATTATTATTTATACACCATTTAATGCTTCCAATTCATGAACTATAACTTTACATTTATAATACTTTTAATACATTAGATATATTAAAAACATCTCAATATATTTAATATTAATATCAACTTACATAAAAAATAACTAATAACCAACAAAAATTATTTGCATGAATAATCTAATATCACATTTTAAATTTTTATCTTTTAATGTGATTACGAATAAGCAAACATAAGTATTTATTTTTCCTTAAAAATTGCACCCACAAATTAATCACAAAATTAAAATAAAAACGGCCTACTACAACATTTCACAAATGATATCTATTTCTAAATTAAAAAATTAACTTTAACTTACATAATTTCTTATCATTTTATATCAAACTCAAAATTATTAATCGTTAATAATTTATAACACTATCAAGATTCAATTATTAATAAAAAATCAAGACTCAAACCAATCACTATGACACAATCATAAAACAAACTTATTAATAATTAGGTGAGACATTAAATAAATATTTATTTATATATAAACTTGATTACAAAGCTTATCCCAAGTAGTTTTTTATATCCATGACAAATATATATCATGAAATGCTAGTCATTACATCAATCCATAGCTACAAAAGTAGCAAAATACATTATTATAAAAAATAAAATAAAAACAGCATGCTAAAACCACTTATTCAATAGATATATAGTTCATAAGCCTCGTTTCTTAAAATGGATATCATGAATCAAGGCTTCTTCTCACTTGGTGGTGTGTACACTGGAGGGATATGCGGTGGCCTGTAAATTCTTGGAGGTAAAACCGGGGTGGGGGTTGGCGGCGGCCTGCCACGTCGTGGAGGTAAAACAGGAGTAGGTCGTGTATATTGAGTAGGGTTAACACGAGTAGCAAAGCCTTGAGGGATGAGAATGAGAGATGCAAGGAACAACACTAGAAATGATAGGGAAAAAGAAGCCATTATAACTAGTGTTTTTCAGTTTTAGTGCGTAAAACATAAGGAATAGAAGTCATGTTTTATAGTAGATTTTTAAGAGCATTAGTGAGAGGTGGGTGCAGTTATTGTTGACAATAGGTCAGAGCTGTTGTCATTTATATGCCTACGGCTTTATCCTACACCTCACAAAGCAAACCAAGCTTTGAAAAACTTAAGTATACAAAGTTCATACAATATTAATGATTGAATTCTAAAATAAAATAAAATGAAATAATAATTAATTAAAATTTTCCAAAAATTAGATGAATGATTTATTAAAAATAATTATTTAGGCACAGGACTAAAGCAAGGAAGCGTTTGCGAGAAACATGTGTTTCTCTATCTTCAGTCATAATAGACAATTTTGTCTCAGGCATTGCGAACCATCAAGATCAATCAGACAACTCTCTGTGATTTATGCCGGACTCTTTGCATTTTTGTTTAAAATGTTTCCACTATAAAAGAGAGAGTGTGCAATTCTCGGGTATTCAAACTCACTCTCAAGTTACATTTTATTCACTAATTAGAGTGTTAACCTTGCAGAAGATACTCAAAAAGTATGCAAAAATCCATTTATAAAGCTGCAAAATGCATTAGACCCCATGTGGCATCGCGCCACAATGTTAATGTATCATACCATGATGAGATATGCAACGTGCCATAATGGGGTGCGATATTCATTGGGCTGAATTTCATCAAATTTCCTATTTTTCACACCATTTCTTCTTTTATTCTTCTTTCTTCCTTTTTCTTCCATTTATTCAAAACATCTTAAATCCGACTCAAACTTAACAAAACTGGAATTAAACTTAATAAAATAACGGACAAACTGTTGTAAAAATTAAGTGTTGATAGAGTTTCAACACCATACCAGAAGCTTACTCTATTATACCATGATTATATTTCATTGTTCACTAAACAATTTTTGTTCCCCAACGAAACAGTGATGCCGTTTTTCAAAATTAAAATCTAATTCCTGCATATTTCCACGTTTAGATCTCCTTCGATCAAGTGATCTTAGTCTCTTCTCTTATGAAATTGTGATCTACATTTCATGATCTTCATCCTTAAAGTTTTGTGATCTTGGTCAACCTTCAAAAGACCCTTCCTTAGATTCATCAACAATAGTGGCATCTATAGCGACTCAATTTATCGTTCAACGAAAAGTTGTCATTGCAACTACTAAATCTATCAAAGCTTTGCCTACTCCAACTCAATCAGAGGATGATCCAAACAAGTGATATCTCCTTCCAATCCTTCACAATAAAATCCTGCTCCATCGAATTCATTCAAGAGCATTCCAAGTTGTTCTGTTATTCGAGTCTACGCAACAGTTTCACCATGGCGAGCCATCACAATGACATTCAGTATTCCCTACAGTACTTAGACAAGATATTATCCACTAGCGTCGATGACATCCATTTAAGTATTGATAGAGGCAACGTGCTCTTAAGGGCCTCTCCTTTAAGCAAAATTGGTCAGTCAAGAGGGTTTGAAACTTTCTACCATGGGGCCCTTAAATATTTTTCAAAAAGAGGCTAGGGGTCCAAGACTTTGAATTTTTCAAAGGGATCGAACTCATTCTGTCGCCGTACAAGGTTGAGGACTTTGTCATTAAAAGCTTAATTTAGGCGACGTAGTTTTTTCATAGCAACTCACATCTCTGCTATGGTTTGGTGATCATTTCCATAACAACTACTGGCTAACGAGGTGCATTATGTTATCACCATTTTGAGGATGATAATTTGGTACCAACTTTCTCATTGAAAGTACAATCGTTAAGAGTCTCTTCACTTAGGGATTATGAGAGACCCAATCTATTTTTGTAGAATTAATGAATTATATTTGTTAAAAAGTACATAATTCATGGAACCCATATTCTAGTAGGGGTGGTCAGAGGCCTTAATTATTTTAGGTGGTTTAGGGATTTTTTACGGTAGTGAGAAACCTTGTTTGGTGGTGTTTTTGGCTATGGGGAGAGCAAGCTCACGTGAGGTGAGAAGCTCCGTATTCTTTAGGTATGTTTTGTACCTTATGAGTTATATCCTCAGGTTGAAATATTTATAGAGTCTTGTGAGTCTAGATTATAGACTTCCTTGGGAATTGCAATCACCCACGTAGTAATGGTAGTGGACCAATGAATATTATTTCTTAGGGAGACATAGATTATTCCCTTTAGTCCTTTTATGCATTTCCTTTAACCAAGATACGCCATTTCCAATGTCCCCCATACAGGGAAAGGAGTGTTGCAGGCGGTGCTACCCTTCGTATAGGCGATGTGATCCCCTCTCTTCTAGTAGGCGACATGGTCCATTCGTCTTTTTTGAGCACTTCACAAATATATAATTACTTGAATGGTCTCCTCAATTCTTAGATAGAGGTATTTATATAAAACCCCTTGGGCAGAATGGAAAGAAAGAGAAACAGTTTTCCTAGTTTTTTTACCATAAAAAATGTGGAAATGGAGGAATAACAATTTTTCTCAAATCGTGGGGGTGTTGGTGAGGGAGACCATTTTCTCCCTTTGATAGATATCTCTAGACCGTTACTCCTTAGACGCCTCAAAGGTCACATGTATTAAATTAAATAGATCACTAATTTCAATTCAGGTAGGGAAATCCAAGCCCAACCAAATAAGTTTTATGTGCATCAGGTTGCTAATCTTGCTTTGGGCGCTCACCCAACATTATTACACTCAATTCAGTCAGTTTTATCATGGATCATCCCTTTTCAGACTCAATAAAATCAGCCCAGTCTAATTAATTTTATTAATATATTGTTTTTTATTTTAGTTTAGTTTAATTAGAATTATACCTTTGGTATTTAATTATGATAATTGTGAGATTTTGGTTTGGTGTTCATTTAACACAATTTTGGCTATTTATATTTCCTATTTTTAACTTGATATTTGCTTGACAGTCAATTTTCAAAATAAACATACATTTTTTAATGGTCTATTTGTGAGTTAGGTTTTTTTTAGAGTTGTGGAGGAAAATACTTTAGAGGATTGTGTCTATATTTTGATGTGTGTTTGATCTTTTAAAAAAAGTTTTTAAAATAATTTGATTTTACATGTTGTTGAAGCTCAATTTTATCTTGAATGAAGACAATCTCATTCTTCTTTTTTGGTATTCAATTCATTTCTTAATAGTAATCTTTACACAAGTAGTAGTTACGTAGATAGGCTTGAAGACAAATCTGATTATGAGGTAACACAAAATCTCTTGCATAACCACTTTTCCAACTAACTCCTAACCTCCAAACTAACTACTATAACTAAATTCTTCTTGCTATAAGTAACTCTTCTTATTACAATCCTAATACTCCACCGCAAGCTAAAGGGCTTGGTGAGGATATCAGGAAGCTAAAATGCAATATAAACATGTTGAACTACAAGCTTTTTGAATGCCACACATTCACGCACAAAATGAGTATCGAGTTCTGTAACAACCCAATTTTCAATAATTGATTAATTGTACTAATTAATTGGATTATGTGATTTATTTGATTTAAATGAATTAATTGGATTTATTTAAATTATATGAGTTAATGGATTTAACTGGTTTATTCTATTTGGTAGAATAATGTGGATTTACTATATATTCTCTAATTAATTAATGATGAGATGAGATATTTTATGAGAAAATGAATTGGTATATATTTTGAGAAGAATTATGATGGAAAGAAAATAGAAAGATATAAAAGGAAAGTAGAGGGAAAGAAAAGAGAAGAATATATAAGGAAAATTGGAGAGAAAAGAAAAGAATAGAAAACATAAGAGAAAGAATAGAGAAAGAAGGAGAAAGAGGAGAAAAGAGAAGGAGAAGAAGGAAAAACTTGGAAAAGCTCAAGAACAACTTCTAGCTCCGATTTAATCAAGGTAAGGGTGTGAAATATCATTATTTTATCAATGTATGTGATTATGTATGGATTGTTTGAGTTTGTTTGGGTGTTTTTCTCGATTTTCCATTCTAGGGCATAAATGGTTTAATCGGTAGAATTGAGTTTTGAACGGTTAGAATTCAAAATAAATTGCGTAGTTTAGTCGGGTAATGTTTAGCCGTGATTATTGGATTTCATTTGATTGAATTTGGTTGAGTTTGTGAGTTTTGACATTTTTGGATAATTGAGGGTTTGAGATTTGAGTGGAAATCGGACGTCGTAGAAATTGTGTTTAATGGTTCTAATTTACTGCTATATGTTAGGTGAGTATGAGTATGTGTTTGTTTCGAAAAAAAGAATTGAATCGGTCGGATTTTCGAGCAAAAGTGCAAAATCCCGTAGCCGTGTTTAGGCAAAATTCTGGTTTTTCGGAAAACTTCGAAAATTCATAACTCTTGAAGCGTAAGTCGGTTTTGACCCCTGTTCGAAGCGTTGGTAAGTTAACCAGATGCTCTTTCTAGAAAAAATGGCTTTGAGGCCTGTACCTGATTCAATTATAGAAGAAAATTGAAAACATATTGTTGTGTTGATTTTTACTGTCGCGAATGTGTGTGATTGATGTGTTATTGTGCAGAATATTTTTGTTATATAACGTATAGCTTGTGCATGTTGTGATATGATATGTTGTGGGTAGCCGTATGGCGTGAATCCTAGATGGTGGAATCGATTATGAAATATAGTCTTTTGACAAATATATCCATATTGTTTATATGTGAAGAATGCATGAGAAAATATTGTAAATATGTGTGCATTGCTTGATAAATGTGGTAATGATATTGAAGTGTAAATGCATATTGATTGTATGCAATATTGTGAATGCATGAGAACGTATTTGTAGATATGTGTGCATCGCTTGTGTTTGTATGTGAAGAATGCATGAGAACATATTGTGAATATGTGTGCATTGCTTGTGATTGTGTGTGAATAATGCATGAGAACATATTGTAGATATGTGTGCATTGTTTGATAAATATGATGATGATAATTTAAAGTATGAATACTTTGATGGTGTGAATATGTTGTGTGTGCAATCACCTGATATA